AAGCTCCGATTTGAACCAAAGTGTTCTCCTTTTTTTAGTGCTTCGTTTGTGCCGATTTGTGCTGTTAAAACGGTCATTTGTGCTGCTTGCATGTCCGATTCAAACTATATTCTCTATACTTGCAGGTGATGATCACAACCGACTACATTTATTACACATCTACAACTAATTTCACCTGCTGCTGTTTTTGTTTCAGGCCGCTTTTTATCCTGTAAATTCTTGTCAGTAATTTAGTCTGGGACTAAAGTAAATGATATCTCACTGCCAACACTGGAAAGAAGGGAGGTCTTTTTAAAATCTGCACTAACGTTGCACTAACCATTCAGTCTATTTGCAGAGTTTTTTGACGGGGGTGGGGTGTCAGCTTCACGCAGCTTCTCAACACACTGTTCTCGCGCTCAGTTTCATCTCTGCTCGCGCTCGACCTGCTCTCTCTCCACGCTCAACATCAGCTGTGCGCTCGGCTGTTTCTCTGCTCGCTCGGCTCTCTGCGCTCGCAGCTTCAGCAATGTACGTAAATGAACCAAACCATCAGCCAATCACGCTCAGCTTCTGTTCATCCAATAAAAGCATTCCTTCCTTCTTCTTCTTCTTTTCTATCATGGCAGATCGCAGCAACTTTAAGGTGCATACCGCCACCTACTGTTCATGAGTGTATTCTATTAAATTCTATTTTTTAATTTTGTATTCTGCAGATAACTAAATAATGTTTTCCTTAATCTATAAATATCCTTTATATTTCCTTTATTTCCCAATAGACTCCATGCTTGGCCTGTCCTTTCAACTCTTCTCATTTTTTCCCTTTCAGGTTCAGATGTTTTACAGTTCATTAATACGTAAGCATTCGTTCCAAATACTACATCCTGTTAAATGAAAAAAAAATAAAAATACAATCAGGAAAATCAAACAACTCTTACAGTTATTTGGCCAACACTCCTAACCATTTGATGGACAGAAGATGGTACTATAAAATATCTGGAATTATCTGAAATAAACTTCAGTAAAACAGTTATTAGATCATTGCCTCGTCCATCTCTTTTACCTGCTGTTGACATGGATTTAAATTTGCTGTTTTAAAAGAAAAATAAGGAGGATATTTCAGATTCAAGTATGGTTGAATTTTATAGTACTATCTTCTGTCCATCAAATGGTTAGGAGTGCTGACCAAATAACTGTAAGAGTTGTTTGATTTTCCTGATTGTATTTTTATTTTTTTTCATTTAACAGGATGTAGTATTGGGAACGAATGCTAATGTATTGATGAACTGTAAAACATCTGAACCTGAAAGGGAGAAATTAAGAGTAGTTGAAAGGACAGGCCAAGAATGGAGTCTATTGGGAAATAAAGGAAATATAAATGATATTTATAGATTAAGGAAAGCATTATTTATTTATCT